ACCAAGCCTCTGAGCCAACATCCATTTATAGAGGAGCATATTCAATAGCACACACACAGAAAAAAAATCAGATCCCAGAACATGCAAAATTTTACTGGAAAATTTATGCAGTCTCTTCAACAATTCAATGACATATAAGAGTGAGGGTTGGGAGTGTTTGCCTTTGAAAAAATCATTAAGAGACACAATAATCAAATGCAGTGTATAAACCTTGTTCTTGATTCAAAACAGAAAAACAGTAGAAAGACATTTTTGAGACAATCAGGGATATTTGTTTAAGGACTACATATTAGATGATATTACGGAATTATTAAGGAATTTTGTTATATATGATAATGGCATTGTGGTTATGAAGAAAACGTTTGTAATTTTTTTTTTTTCTTTATTGAGACAGGGTCCTCACTCTGTCACCCAGGCTGGCGTGCAGGGTACTTTCTTGGCTCACTGCAACCTCTGCCTCCCGGGCTGAAATGAACCTCCTGTCTTAGCCTCCCGAGGAGCTGGGACGACAGATGCCCGGCTAATTTTTTGTAAAGATGGGTTTACCCTGTTGCCCAGGCTGACCTCAAGTGATCAAGCGCTGGGATTACAGGTGCGGCCACCGCGCCCGGCACCTCCTCCCCTTAACAAACATTAACTGAGAGCCCTTCGTGTGCCAGACTCTGCTCAGGGTACACAGCTGGGAGCACCACAAAGCCCCGTCCTCCTGGAGCTTGCTCTGGGGGAGACACGCATGAAAGCCGGTGTGAAATGCAGCGCCCCGGATTGAACATCAGAGACGGAGCCCACAGGAGTCGTGCATTTCCTGCGGGGGCTGTAACGGATTACCATAGACATAAGGGCTTCAAACATGAATGTCTGATCTGATAGCTTTGCAGTCAGACGCCTGACAGGGCTCTCTGGCCTAAAATCGGCGTTGGCAGGGCTACGTTCCCTTCTGGAGGCTCTAGGGGAGCATGGGCTTCCTCACCTTTTCCGGTTTCTAGAGGCCACCCGGCATCCTTGGCTTGTGGCCCCTTCCTCCTGCACATCACCTCTCTGACTCCCCTCTGCGGCCACATCTCCCTCTTCTCTCCTCTGCCTTCCTCTTCCGCTTTTAAGGACCCTCATGATGACATTGGGCCCACCTGGATAATCCCGGAGCACCTCTTTAAGATCAGCTGTAGCAACCTTAATTCCCCCCTGCCATGTAACTTAGCACATTCATAGGTTCCGGCGATGAGGACTTGGATCTCTCCAGGGTCCTATTCTGCCGACCACAGATGGGAAAGCCGATGGAGATGGACAGAGAAGGGAAGAGGCAGAAAAAAGCCTCGGAGAGAGGCAGAGGACCAGGCTGAGAGGAGAGAGGAGGTGGCTGGGAAAGGAGACAGTGTCCTGGGCGTGCTTGGGGACTTTTCGGGGGATTCTATCTGCCAGCTGAGACTTTCCAGGGACGTTATTCCAGGAAAGCCTGGGCAGCTGTGAAACCTCAGATGACGCCAGAGGACTGTTCAGGGTTGAGCCAATAGGCAATTGTTGGAGAGGGAGGGAAGGAGGGCAGCTCTCAGCAAGTCCATCTTGGCGGCGTTTCCTGAGTTCCAAGGCTATTCCGGGCTCCATCCCTGGGATGGAGTTTCCTAGCCTGCGTCAGGACGGCGTTCGCCAGTGTCCCAGGGAGTGTGGGTCTATCCTCTTGGTGGCAGGAGGGAGGCTTTAATCAAATTCTCAAAGGGTCCTGGGACCGATAAAAGTTAACTCCTATCCTGAGTGTTATAAAAAGAAGTGCTTGGAATGTAAAATGCTGCAGTCACTGTGGAAGACAGTTTGGCAGTGCCTCAAAATACAGTTACCATGTGATCCAGCAACTCCATTTCTAGGCGCATGCCCAGGAGAACAGAAGACATCCGTCCACACAAAAACTTATCCACAGATGTTTGTAGCAGCATTGCTCATAATAGCCAAAAAGTGGAAACAACCCAAATGTCAGTCTCCTGATGGGCTGATAAACAAAATGTAGTCTGTCCATGCAATGGAATCTTATTCAGGGATTAAAAAGAATGAAGTTCTGAGACAGGCTACAACATGGATGAAACTTAAAGACATTACACTGAGTGAAATAAGCCAGACACGAAAGGACAAATATCTTATGTTTCCACTGTCTATGAGGTACCCAGAGTAGTCACATTCATAGAAACAGAAAGTAGAATGGTGATTGGCAGGGGCTGAGAGAGGGCAGATGGGGAGTGAATGTTAGTGAGTACTAAGTTTCTTTTTGGGGTGACGAAATGTTTTAAAATAGATTGTGGCAATGGCTGTGCAACTCTGAAAATATACGGAAAGCCACTGAATTCCTTAAATGGGTGATGGGTGAAATTTCTGCTATGTAAATTATATCTCAGTAAAGCTGTTCCTAGAAAAAAGAGGAAGTGGGCCAGGCACGGTGGCTCACGCCTATAATCCCAGCACTTTGGGAGGCTGAAGTGGGAAGACAGCTTGAGTCTGGTAGTTCAAGACCAGCCTGGGCAACATAGTGAGACCCTATCTCTACCTACCTACCCAAAATTTTTAAAATAGCCCAGCATGGTAACACACACCTGCAGTCCCAGCTACTCGGGAGGCTGAGGTGGGAGAATCACTTGAGCCCAGGAGGTGGAGGTTGCAGTGAGCTGTGATCTTGCCACTGCACTCCAGCTTGGGCAACAGAGTGAGACCCTGTCTCAAAACATAGATTTATCTCTTCTAAAAAAAGAGGAAGTGTTTGGCCCTTAGCACCACATTTTGCTTTGTCCTTGCAACTGTGAAAGGCAGGTCTTGCTTCTCCCCTCTTACAGGTGAGCAGATGGCAGAGAGGCGAAGGGTCACTAGGCTAAGACAGGATGGCTGTTTAGTGACATCCTTGGACCAGGTCTCCTGTATGGGTCATTCTTTGTCCTGTGAGCCATGCTGGAGTGCGGATTTGGAGGTGACAGGCAAGTGGCGCAGTCAGTGATGCATCTTCTCAGTAGCTGTTAGAGAGTGGGCAGTTCTGACAGCAGCAGGGGAAGCTGGCCGGGAAGATGGGATGTCTGAGTCAGCTCGGGCTGCCACAACACCAGACACTAGATGGCTTAAACAATAGGACTTTATTTCTCACAGTTCTGGAGCCTGGAAAGTCCGAGCTGAAGGTGCCGGCCAATCCCATTCCCGGCGAGGGCCCCTCCCTGGCTTGCAGAGGCCTGCGTTCCCGTGGAGTCACCACACGCCTTTCCTTGGTATGTGCACATGGAGAGATCTCTCCTTCTCTTATGAGGTCACAGAACAGGCTGGGCGCGGTGGCTCACGCCTGTAATCCCAGCACTTTGGGAGGTCGAGGTGGGCGGATCACCTGAGGTCAGGAGTTTAAGACCAGTCTGGCCAACATGGAGAAACTCCGTCTCTACTGAAAATACGAAACATTAGCCGGGCATGGTGGCGGGTGCCTGTAATCCCAGCTACTCAGGGGCATCACTTGACAGGAGAATCACTTGAACCCAGAGGCGGAGGTTGCAGTGAGCCGAGATCGCGCCACTGTACTCCAGCCCAGGCGACAGTGTGAGACTCTGTCTCAAAAAAGAAAGAAAGAAAAGAAAAAGAAAAAACAGAAAGGTAAATTTGCCTACACAAGGACACGCAGCTCCTAGGTGATTTGTTCCACATCTGACCCCAGGGCCTATGCGCCTTTCCCTACCCAGGCCACCGCCATGACTCAGGAGGCCCCTCTGGGGAAGCAGCGGGAACCCTCATAGGAGGCTCCGGGACAGAGAGATGCAGGGCTGGGATGAGGAGGCCCCAGGGGGAGGCTGCTCGCTCTCCTGTCCCACAGAGGTCTCTGCTAGGGGTAGCCCCGTCCTGGGACACAGACACCAAGGACTGCTGTCTGGGGGGAGGAGGCTGAGTTGGGAGGGACAATGGCCTGAGTTGATTCTGCAGCCTATGAGCAAGGTGGGACAAGCCAGAGAGACAGTGAGCAAGTGGGGGCGAAGACTGAGGGTGAGAGCTTGTGCTGAAGAGGCAAGGGGCGGCCTCAAGTAGGCAGGGCAAGGCCAGATGCCGAGGCTGATGGGAGCGGGCAAGGGGACCGGGATTCAGGGGGAGACTGAGTTGGGGGCCAGACAGGCTGGAGCTCCTCGGGTTGGAAGCTGGGTGATGGGGCCTCATTCTCTGCCACATGAAACTCCCCTAGCCCAGCCTTTCTCCTTATCACCTCTCACAGATATTCCCATACCTCCCTGGTACCCCTGTCATCTTTCCTAAGCTATGCTCTTTTTCAGGAGGGCGGCGTTTAGGGGAGGGCATCCTGCAGAAATAGCAAGTCTTCAAGTCAGCTCTTGCCTGAGTCCCCGGCTCCTTTGGCGGAAGGGTAGTCCCTCTTTTTGCATGTTTTAGGTGGTCAGCCTGGCAAGGGGCGGGAGGCCTGGGTTTCTTTCTTCTCTTTAGGATGGGGCTGGTCCTCCACCTCCCGCTGGTTGGCAGCCTCCCGGCCCCTGGCGGCCCCAATCCATTGTCCCAATCAGAATAGCGAGAACAGCTTTGGAAAATGACGCTATGAATGGTGCCGGGGCTGCTGGGGCTGGGACCGAACTAATGGGATGAGGTCCCCCACTGCAGGCCCGGGCTCAGCACCTGGGACAGAGACTCTACTAGGAGGGTGGGAGCTCTGCACACTTCCCCAGGACCCTCAAATCAGACTCCAAGCCACCCCTGTCCAGGACGTGGATTCCCAGGGATGGGCTTGGGGAACCAGATGGCCCAGCTCCTCCTAGAACTTCACTCTCATTCAGTCAAAGTTTGAGAGGGAGTAAGGGGTGGGTGATGGGCTGGGAGAGATTTCTGGAAGCTGAGAAAGGGGCGGGTTTGACCCCCCAACTTTGCCCCGCTCTCATTGGCCCTCCCCCCCTCCCCTTTCCCTGCCCCAATTGTCTCGGTGTCTGGGTCCTGGCCCTGGGAGGAGGGGACAGTGAGGATAGGAGTGGGGAGGGGGCTCAGGCTGAAAGCAGAGAGAGCCAGCTGCAGGAGCACGAAGAGAAGTATCGTAACCTTCAGCCTTGACCCCAGACCTTGGTGCCCCAGAACCTGGGCTCTCCAAAGCAAGACCAGGGCCCCCACACTGTGCGCCAGAGTGCGGGGTGGGGAATGCCCACAGCCCAAGGGCCCCCAGGCTGAAGGCAGGAGACTGGGGCTGCTGGGGAAGTCGCCCAGGCTGAGGGGCCAGGCCTGGTAGGGCCATGGCGCTGCTGCTGCTGCTGCTCCCAGGCTGCGGTAAGAGGCTGGGCCATGAGGGCCATAGGGAAAACCAGGGCAGAGGGACGGGGAAGAAAAAGAGGTAGGCATAGGGGTGGGAGAGTTGGGGGGAAAGGTTGGCGGAGCAGAGGGATGGAGGTGGCCGGAGTGGAGGTGGAGAAACCCTGAGGACAGCAGAGGAGAGGGGTGAGCCCTAGAGCCATGGGGGGGCTCTAGGAGCCCAGGCTTTGGGGCGCAGTGGCCAGAAGGGGACCTGGGGTCCACGTGAGGCAAGTGGCTGAGCAGACCGCGGGGCATACAGAGGCAGGGCCCCAGAGGCTTCTGGACAGATGTCCCTGAGCCAACCGAGGCTGGCTCAGCCCCCTGCCCATGTGCCCCTCGGAGGCTCTGTCTGCCCGCCCGTCCACCCCATCTGCCAGGGGTCCTGGCTCAGCCTCACAGGCTGAGTTATTGTATTGATGGGGGTGTGTGGGAAGGGGGCTGTGTATGTGGGTTCACAGCTCTGCTCGTGCATTTCTGGGCCTGTGCCATTAGTGTCTGTGGCCCTGTGCTTATGTATTTGTGACTTTGAGTCTGTAGGGACATCTACGTGTTACCTGTGTTTGGGGCCTCCTTGAGTGTGTGTCTGGGATGGAATCTGTCTGTATCTAGAAGACCTGGTGGCCAGTGAGGTTGTGATTTTTAATCCAAGCGTGTGTGTGTTCGTGAATGAGTGTGTGTGAATGTAAGTGTGTTCCTTCCCTATTCAGAGGCCAGGGTCCTGGTGGCGGGAGGGGGAAAGGGGAGAGCCAGGAGTCCTGGGAAGCTGACCCTGCAGGCAGACAGGCAGATGGGCCGGCAGGGGAGGGAGGGGGCAATCCCATTGTCCCCTGGGGAGCACAATGCCCACGCCTCAGTCCCTGACCTCACCATTGTGCCCACCCCGCCCCCTCCCCGTTGCCAGGGCCCCGCTGAAAGAGGCCATCAATCACAGCCGGCCTGCCAGGCCCACACCGCACCCGCCAGCCGGCCAGTGGCTCCCCGTGCTCCTCAGATGGCCGGGCCCTGCCCTCTCTTCCCTGTTTCTCCTTTGCTGCCCCAAAGTCTCCCTAAAGTCAAGTCCTGTCCCTTGCCCCCTTGCCAAAGCTGGGAGGGAGTCAAAGCCGTGGGGGAGGTGGTGGTTAGAGGGTGGCCCACAGGGGACCGCCGTGTCCAGGCTGTGCTGGCTGTCCCTACAGGCCGTGCTGCAGGCTCCGAGCTGGCCTTTGTGCAGGAGCCGGGGGACACAGTGGCTGTGCGGGAGCACCCACTGGTGCTGCCCTGCCAAGTGGAGGGTGAGCCACCCGTGTCCATTTCTTGGCAGCGGGATGGGCTGGCCTTAGCCAATGACAGCGGTGCCACCCTGATGCCAGATGGCTCCCTGCACCTGGCTGCCCTGCCTTCCCGCTGGAGCCTCCTTTCCAGTGCCCACGAGTACCACTGCGTGACCCAGAACCGCTACGGGCGGCTGGTGAGCCGACGGGCCCGGGTAAAGCTGGCAAGTAAGTGACAGGGCTGCTCCTGGGATTGGGGGATGAAAGTGCGTGGGGCACCCACAGAAGGCACCCATGGGGTCCAGAGTCACTGAGAGTGGGCCTGAGCAGGGCCAGCCCAGCCATTAGACACAGTGTACACACTGGTAGAGCCTCTGATTCTTTTAGGGGCCCACAAAAATGTTTTAACTTCCTCAGAACCAGAAGAAAAAAATGAACATAATAATAAATATGCAAAAATGAGTCCAGAATGGATTATATTGTCTATATTCCAATGCCATTGTAAACTATGATTTAAAATTTTTGTAATGGAGGAAGGCAAAGCGCTTATAGCCCACAGAAGTCCTAGACATGAGGCTGCAGGGCTCCATCCTGAAGAGGAAGCGGCAGATGTGGGCATAGAGGTGGGGCCCGGCCCTGGGACTTGGTTGTTGGGGGATAGCCCAGGGCCAGCTCTTCAGGTGCCCAACCGCCTCCCCCCATCCTCTAGGTCTGTCCCACTTCCACCAACATCCAGAATCGGTTGAGGTGGAGCGGGGTGGAGTTGCTCGTTTCCAGTGCCTGATCTAGGGGGTGCCTGAACCATCCATTTCCTGGGAGCACAATGGCACAGCCCTGAATACTGCCAACCACCGGTGAGCACCTGCCAGCAGTGCAATGGGACGGCGGGCTGTCAGCCAGGGCACAGGCCATGGAGCCCTGACCTGTGCATCCTCAGGGTCACACTGCTGCCTAGTGGCATCCTCCACATCACCAGTGTGAGCCAGGCGGACGTGGGAACCTACCGCTGCGTGGCATAGAATATGGCCAGTACCCGCCACAGCCAGGATGCCCAGCTGACGCTGAGCGGCAAGCCAGGCCCAGTATGGGCACTGGGCAGAGAGGAGGGTATGGTTGCTGTGGTTGTACATGGGACAGGCAGGCCTTTTGAGCACCTATGACATGTTAAGCACTGTGCCAGGTGTGGGAGGGCAGCAGGCTTGAGCCATCCCTGGCTTCCTGGAGCTCACAACCTGAGAGAGAAGGTGGTTCTGTGGGAACCTAGGGTTAGGCTGTGGGCAAGGATTGTCAGGGGCTTCTGGAGTAAGCTACCCCAAGCTGGATGTTGAAGGGTGAGTGGAGAGAGGCAAGCCAAGGTCAGGAGGGCAGGGTGGGGCATTTCCTTGAACAAATGCACAAGGGAGAACAACAAAGTTCACACAGGCAGTTCTGTGTTGCTGGACCACAGAATGGGCAGAATTCAGGGTAGCAAAGTTAATGTTGGTGGGTAGGCAAGGCATATCATGAAAATAGTTTGGACTTGATCCAGAGGGCAATGGGAGCTCTGGAGGGTCTAGCGTTGGGGCTGAGTCAGCCTGTGTCTTGAACACATGGCCCTCATACACATGGCGTGTAGATGTGCATGTGTTTGTGTATGTGTCTGTGCTTGCATGTACACGTGCATGTGTGCATGGACATTTGCATGTCTCCTTGGGGTGAGGATGAAAATAGCTTTGTACCTGAGATGAAACACCCAGGGTGACCTCACTTGCAGGCCAAGTGGGGTGGGACAGTTTTGTGCCCAAAGTGAAGGCCACAGCAGAGCCTATGAGGGGCTGGTGCCTAGCAGGAGAGGCAGGTTAGACCCCGCCGAAACTGGAGATGCCACAGGTGTTTGTGAGGGACAGTCATGCCTGAATCGGCCACTAGGGGGCTCCAGGGTATAAATAAGCTAGTGTACCACCGGGCACCACCGCCGCGCCTGGACGAACTTTCAAAACATCTCCGACAAAATTTCACCGAAGGCTGTATCTTTTTTTGTTTGTTTGTTTCTGAGACAGGGTCTCACTCCTTCGCCAGGCTGGAGTTCAGTGGCGCCATCTCGGCTCAGTGCAACCTCTGCCTCCCGGGTTCAAGCGATTCTCCTGCCTCAGCCTCCCGCGTTGCTGGGATTACAGGCACCCGCCGCCGCGCCCGGCTAATTTTTGTACTTTTAGTAGAGACAGGGTTTCATCATGTTGGCCAGGATGGTCTCAATCTTTCGACCTAGTGATCCGCCCACCTCAGCCTACCAAAGTGCTGGGATTACAGGCATGAGCCACGGTGCCCGGCTGGTATATAATTTTTAAACTGAAGACTGGCAGGGGAAGGGGGAACCGTTGTGTTTCTGATCTGTAACTGACTTAGAAACTAGAAGCAAGGGTGGGGGTCAGCAGCTCTTCTGCAGGAGCAGAGAGGAGCCCGGTGGGGTTCGTATCCACAGTCTGGGGCAGGAGGGCAGGGCAGGAGGCCATGTCTTTCAAGGCTATCAGGCAAACATAGGATTCTGCTGCCCGTGGAGCAGGGAGACGAATGGCTGGAGAGCGACAGGAGGTTAGCAGGAGGAGCAGGTGTCTGTTGGGGGCAGAGGACCAACTAAAAACCAAAGGCTCAAGGGTTGCCTAAAGGAGCTGGTGTCAGAGTAGTCTTCCTCAGGGGCAGAAGCTGGAGACCAAGGCCCCAAGTCATTCACCCCTAATGCACTCAACTGCACACACCTGGGCAGGCACTTACCCTGGGCACGCACCAGGGTGAGACAGAATTTCCCAGACTTCAAGGACACAGTGGCTAAAGAGGGGAAGCTCGTTGTCAGCTGTTCAGTGCTACCGAGATCCAGGGAGTCCCCCAGTTCTGCCAGTCCCTCTGTCATTGGGCAAGTTACTGACCCTCTCTGATCCTTGATCTTCTTATGTAAATGGGGGAAATAACAGTACTCAGCTCACAGGCTGTGGTAAGGGCAAAATGGGACAATGTGTGGGGCTCACAGCCAATGACTGGCATGGGGAAGGCCCGGGTGACCCAGCCTCCCCTCACTGAACTGTCTGACCAGGCAGGACACAGCCTCTTTGCATGAGGCCAGGAGATTCCAGGGCAGCCTACAGCCTGTACTGCAGCTTGCAAGAGGCAAATGGAGAAAGGCAGGGCCCAAAGTAGGCCTTCAATCTATAGTTGCTGAAAAAATGAATGAACAAAACACAATTCTACACCTTGAGGGATAAAGATGTGTAAGACTTTAGACCAGCCCTTGAGAGACTTTCATTTTAGAAACACATTTTATCTGAGACATTCTTAATAAAGGGCATTTATGAAAGGTTAAAGACACGTTAAGGCCTCACATGATACAAGGTAATAAAGAAAATGGGGATGATGGCCTACGGGAAAACAGAGCTCTGTTTAACACGATGTTGTTCACAACCCTGCTCCCAGTTTGAGGACGATGCCTGGCACATGGGAGCCCCCAGTGATGATCTGTTGAATAAACTAATGAAACGGGGGAGCATGGTATAAAATGAAGATGTGATTTAGACCCAAAACAAGAGTTACTTTCGGAAAACACTTACATCCCTCCTAAGCAGCTAAGCAGGCTGAGGTCTTAGGAGGCTGGTCATGCTGAGAGAAGGCCTCCTACTAACTCTGTGGGTGCCTCTACCTGCCCCTCAGGGTGAGGCGCCCAGGGAAGGTGGGGCCACCCACAGGGTTTGTAGGAGAAGAATGCTCATTGTCCTCTCTCTCCCCACCCCCAGTCTACCAGACCTTCGGCCTGATAGCTACTGCCATGGGACTTTGGGCAGGTCATTTTAAAAATCTGTAAGTTGGAGATGGAATAGCAGCTGCAAAGCACACCTCTGAGGTCTGGTGACATTTGTGGGCTGGAAGTGTGTGCTTGGAGTAGAAGTTGAGTACTGGAAGGAGGTTCTCCTTTCCTGATCCGATTTGCTTGTTTCCACCACACAGTGGGACCTCCGAGGCTGCCGCAGGAGCCGGAGATCCTGTCCGGGCCTCAGAACCTGACCCTCACAGTGCACCAGACAGCAGTGCTGGAGTGCATCGCCACGGGTCACCCTCGGCCGCTTGTCTCCTGGAGCCACCTGTGTGTGCAGCTGCCCCGGCCCATCTCTCAGAGCCCCATGCCCTTGTCCTATCCCAACCTGACCCCCCCAACACCTTCTTGCAGATGGCCGCTCCATCGGCGTGGAGGGCATCCAAGTTCTGGGCACCAGGAATCTCATGATCTCCGACGTGTCAGTCCAGCACTCAGGTGTCTATGTCTGCGCTGCCAATCGGCCGGGCAACCATGTCCGGCACACAGCACAGGGCGTCCTGCTCGTGCAGGGTGAGCCCCAAGGGCTGGACCGGGTGGGGAGAGTGCTGGGGGACCCCAGCTCCCTGACAGGAGCCTGGATCTGGAGAGGGTCCAGGGCAGGAGGCAAGAGGCCGGGTCTCATGGCGTCTTCCTCTGTGCTATTGCCTGCCCAGCTCCCCCTGAGTTTGTCCAATGGCCACAGTCCTTGTCCAAGCCTCCGGGCAGCAGTGCCATCTTCACCTGCGTGGCCCAGGGCGTCCCTGAGCCCCATCTGGTCTGGCTGAAGAATGGGAAGGTGCTGAGTCCTGGGGATAACATCAGGCTGACCCACAATAGGTACTCGTGTCTTACCACTCCCCACTGGCCACTGGCAATGGTATGTCCCCCTACCCACCCTGGGCGTCCACCCCCACCTACATGCAACACTCACTACCTAAATCTCAAAAATCCACACCCATCCACAAACCCCCAGCAAGTTACCTTCTACTTCCAGCAATTCCCCCTTCCCCCAGGAGGCTCTGCCCTGACTTCTCCATTACAGGTAATGCCCCCACACAGCCTCCTCCTCTAGGGCCACTCCACCAAGGCTTGGTGGGAAAGGGCTCCCAGCAGCTGAGTTTGTCTTTCTCTAGTACGCTGATGCTGGCAGGCATTTCAGTTGACGATGAGGCCATCTATCAATGCATGGCAGAGAACAGTGCAGGCTCCAATCAGGCCAGTGCCCGCCTGGCTGTGAAAGGGGGCCCAGAGTCACACCCTGTCCCCAGGGGCCTGCATGCCATGGCTCTCTCTACTTCTGCCATTCGAGTGTCCTGGGAGCCATCCCCCTCCAGCGGGGACATCACTGGCTATGTGCTGCACCTCCGGCCTGTGGGAGGTGGGTGTGGGTGGGTGGACAGGGCTTTGAGCTCAGAGCAGGGCCAGGAGCCAGGAGTCCCCAGCGCCAGCCCACCTCTGCTCCTGACTGCTGATGTCCTAGGCGAGTCCCTCTCACTCTCTGGGTCCCAGTCTCCTCCATGACCCCAGACCCTTCCGGATTCTTCCTAGGCCTCTGGGCCTGCGGTTCTCTGGGCTGGCTGCCTCTGTACATGGTCTTTTGGTGCTTCCTTATTGCTTTTCAGCTTGACTCTAGGCCCTTTCCTCATCCACATCCTTTCTCAGCTTAGCTCCAACTTCTGCAGCCTCTTTCCCTGCTCTCCTTGGAGGCTTGGCTGGTCCAGACAGGCACCAGGAGGGGGCTTCGTCCCCAGTTTGTGAGGGTGCAAAGACATGACTACTGAGAAGATGCTGTTCTGCTCCTCAGAGCCATCTGGCCCGGAGCTCCAAGAGGCCATGAGCAAAAGCACCTCTGAGCACGTCTTCTCCAACCTGGAGCCTGCCACAGCCTACACCATCCATTTGCGGGCCTACTCAGCAGAGGGTGCCAGTCAGGACTCTGCCCCGTCTTTGCCTCCACCATGGGCAGCAGTGAGTGACAGCCTCTCCAGCCTTGGGAAGTCCCTGGCCTCAGGTGGGCAGGGACTGCCAACCAGTTTGTTTTCCTCTGTAGCCCCTGCTGCCCTGGGCTTCTCCACCAAAGTGCTCAATGCCACCTCTGTGCAGGCCTCCTGGGAGCTGCCACCACAGCTGGGACCCATCCAAGGCTTCAAACTCTTTCACTGCAAGCTGCCTGCTGCCCATTTTGAGGGGCCCCTGCTCCTGGCCAGCAGTGTCAGATCCTTCCTCTACACAGACCTGGGTGAGGCTCTGAACCTTCTTGTGACGCTCAAGGCCCGCCCTTCTCAGTGTGATCTTGCCCCAGGTACTGAGCTTCCTGGCCCATAAATGCCCATCCCCTTCACATTCTCCTGCTTCCTGCAGAACCAGCAGCCCTCTATGAGATCAAGCTGCAGGCATTCAATGGCAACAGGGATGGAAAAGCAGTGCCCGCTTTGTCTCATTGTGTGATGTGCCCCTAGCCACTCCGGGTAAGTGGGGTCTGGTAGGAGGGTAGTAGGGCTGGGGTCAGAGCAGGCCCCCATGGCTGCCAGTCTTCAGGGAGGAATTAGGGCTGAGCTTCACCTCCAACCCTGGTCCTCTCTCTGACAGATGGCACAGTGTCCACAGAGTCCAAGGCTGGGTGCTCTTGCAGCCAGGGTGAGAGCAGCCCACTGCCTGGGGTTGTGGTGGGCATCCACGTGGGCCTGGCTGCCCTCATCGTTTGCCTCCTCTGCCTCTTCCTGGGCTGGAGACATAGGTAAGGGTCAGGTAAGGGCTAATGTGGGAAATCTGCCAGGGAGACAGTCTGCGTCACTGTGGCACAGGACCAAAGAGAGCAGGAAAGAGCCCCAATCCACAACCAATCAATTTTGCTAGTGAGGAGGAGACTCAGGCAGAGAGGGGAAGCCAATTCTTTTCAGAGCTGTGTGGTTCCAGGGGCAGGAGAAGGCCTGCCATGAGCGGGAAGAGAGGACTGGAGCTCCCAAGGCAAAGGACAAGGGCAGCAGAAATGAGCTAGAGCCAGTTCCCTGCCATCCTGCAACATGAGGAGGGGTCCACCCTTCTCCATCTCTGGGGAGCATAGAGGAGGAGGAGGGGTTGGGAGTTATGCGAGGAAGAGGGAGGCACCAGACAGACTATGCTGCTGACCCTTCCTATCCTGGCAGCCTCCTCTGCAAACAGGGGTCCCAGGAATGCTGGGGAATGCCTCGGACTGCCTTGGACAGAGCTGGGGGCCGTCAAGGCCAGATTCAGAGTGGAGGGAAGCCGGGGGAGAAGACTGAACTCACCACCCAGGTGAGGGGGATTCAGTGACGGGAAATGAGTAGGGGAAGCTGGCGTGTTTGAGGTCTTGTTCCAGGGGCCTGACCTCCTTCACCCTCAGGTGACCGTGGAACAGCTGGCCTTGGCCTAGGGCCCTTCAAGTTGGCTCCCTCCGAGATGCCACTAACTCCGGATACACCAAAGAATCTGCCTCATCTGTCCCTGTCACCCCGGAGTCAGGAAAGAACCAAAAGTCCCTCAGCCCCTCTCCAGGGAGGGGCAGGACTGGCCATAGCGGGAGAGAAGAGGGTGTGGTTTCTGTGTTCCTCCCCGACCTCAAGAAATGGGAGAATCAGAATCCCTTCCCCCAACACACCAAATAACCTCAAACTAAACCAAGCCCAGCTGGGAGTTACTCCCAACCCAGTTACTCCTGCCTCATAACCCCATCCAATATATTCACCTCTTCTTGATCCAAATATGAACCTGCCCAAAGACACATAGCTTTAAGAGTTCCCCACAAAGTGGGGGCAGGGGAAGAGGCTGTCATCATCTCCATCTCACAACCTGAAGCCCTCCAGTCTAAAATCTCAGTCTCCTCGTACCCAAGCTGAGCTCTGCCCAGGAACAGGTGACCTGCATTCCCTGTGGTCCAAGTGGGCAGGTGGGCAAAAGGGGTGCTGAGTTCCTTGCCCCCCTTCTCCCTACAACATAAGAGTCTTAAATATCTGAGCTCACATGAGCTTCTCTGAGCAACCAAATACCCATTTCCCCCTTCCCAGATCCAAAGCCCTGGCTCCTCCTCAGGGGGCATCCTTACCCATTTGATTTCTATTTTTGAAAGAAATTAGTTTAAGTCAGGGTTTTGGCAGTCTTCAATCGCCTGTAGAATGAGCATAGAGGCTGGGGAGCATCCCCCATCTCCCTTCCATCAACTCTTGGGGGTCCAAAGAGCACTTCTTTCCCACTTCTCCCTCTACCAGCCTATGGCATCCAGGGCACCACAGTCCCTCCTCATCCAGCTGTGCCATGCTCTAAAGCCAAAGCCCTAGCCACTCCCTCAATCTCTCTCTCCAAGGCTGTCCAGTATTGTGCCAAAAAGGGAAGGGTCTTGAGGGAAGGAAAGTCCATGGCTTAGAGGACCCCAAAACTGTCTCCTGTGCTCTTCTAGAGTAATGCTAGTACCAATGACAACAAGACTCCTGAAAGGCTGGGCTCTGGCCCTCCACAATAGCGCCCTCTGCACAAGGCACAGCAGCAGCTGTAACTAAAAAATGTGGCTGAGGAGCAAGAGGGCTAAGAATAGCCCCAAACGTCAAGTCTTTGAGGAAATGACATCCTCTTCTCTGGTTGGGCCTGGTCTAACTGCTTTGTTGGAAATAAATAACCAAAACGGAAAAAATAAATTAGGATCTGGTTAATGCTTTCGGCTGAAAGAAAAACTTGGGGACGGGGAGTGATGAGATGGTGAGAAAGTGCAGTTCCAGATCTTTCAGGGGATGTTGTATTCAGATTGTTAAATAACTATATTCCGTAGTTTGCTAGAGAACAGCAATGTGAGCCCCTGCTGGTATGTGGCAACCATCTAGACGAACAAGCATGTTACAAAATATTTATTTTCTTTTATAGAGATGGGGTCTCACTACATTGCCTAGGCTGATCTCCTGGCTCAAGTGATCCTCCCCCCTTAGCCTCCTAAGTAGCTAGCTATAGGCATGCAGCACTGTGCCTGACTAAAGGATTCTGTTACTAGAGACCAGAGCAGTGTGGTGGAAAGGGCCAAGGACTGCTAGGGGACACCTTTCCCTAGGAGAGAATGGAGACCCAGCCCCCTCCCCATGATACCATTAGACCTGAAGTCATCAGATAACTAACGTGGGGTTGGTGGCTTCCAGAACACTGGCTCTAGCTAGAGTTGGAGGGGAACAAGAACACAGAAGTAGGTCAGGGCTTTAAATAATCATCACAATCAAAGAGAAGGATACAAACCAAAGGCACTCAGTCCATGGCTGGACTCACTAGGGAAGACAGCCATAGCTCATCTCCCAATTACCCCAAAAATTATCCCACCAAACTGCCACCCCCCGCCCCATAACGAAAGCACAAGCCACAGGAAAGTTTAGAAACCATTCCTTTCTTTATTAAACATAGCTTGCAAGTGATAAATATTACAAAGTTTTTTTTTCTTTTAATCCTTTCTCCAAAAATTAGCTTATTATTTGAATCTGTCACTGCTGAAATGCTCAGCAGCATCTGAAACAGATGGGAGTGTATTTGCCTTTTTGAAAACCAGTTTCTATTGGTCTTAGTTTTTTCATTTTATTTCCCAAACACAATGCAGAAAATCAGAATGAGTTAAAAAAGAAATAAAGGAAACTTAAAGAGAGTTGTGCAAAAGGGTCTTGTTCCCCTCCCACCCACCCTATTCAGGGAAGGCCATTCCCCATCCCACCTCCCTGCTCCCCACCCCCCAACCCCAATCTATCCTTCCACCTTCACCAGGGCTTCACCCATCACCCTGTACCCTCTCCAGGCTTTATCAGCCCAGAACCTAAAGAAGAGAGTAGGAGTACTCAGCCCAGGCTGTGGGGAAATTGGGCCCCTGAAGGAGACAGACTGTGAAACAGCTGCCTTTAGGGGGGTTCAGATGAAATCTGAGGGAAGGAGACAAAATGTGGGCTGTGTCTGCGCTCTCCTATTTTATCACCAAGATGGGGGAAGTTCCATATCCTGTAGCTCACAAAGGGAGTAAATAACTAGAGCACCAACCTGGGGCATTCAGCTGTCAACCACCCTTAAGGGCTCTGTGGTTGGCTGTGAGATGGGGCTTGAGGCCTGGTCCCTGCCCTCAGATGACTAGAGGCATAAAGGCAAAGATGTCACTGGTCTGACACCCTGGACAAGACTCTGCTGCCTCTCCCAAATCAAGGGTAACCGTAGAGGACTGGCAGCTCTCCAAGGGCACTGTCATACACATAACCACTTCAACACGAGTCACTTTCAGTTCCTCCCTGGTTTCTTGGCCCAACACTTTCCTCACCTCAAGTTGTTTTTTGGCTTTGGCAGGTGAGGAAAGAAGTACAGAATTTTAAACTTGGTGGCCAGATGATCTCCCGCTTCACTTCACAGATAAGAAAATTGAGACCCAGAAAACTAACTACCAAAGATCACATAGCAAGTTAGAAGGAGACCCCAGGTCTCCAGATTGCAGCCCCCTCAACCCCTTTTGTGTTGGTGGTTCTTTTTACTCTACACAGTCCGGGACCAGGAGGTCATGGCTTTCACAGGAGCTCAGCCTCACCTCGGTTCACACAGCCTAAGACTGTGCAGATGGATGTGGCTCTCAATAGGTGAAATTTCCTCAGGATGACTTATTAAAATCCTTTCTATCATCCCCTGACAATCCACCCTCAAAGGCCCGTAAGACTAGGTTCTTTCCTTTTTGAGGAGGTGGGGTGGGGGAAATCCCTTGCATAAGAAAGCTTGACACTGAATTTTGTTATATAGGTATATTGTATATATGCTGATGCAATCAGAGGAAAAAAAAAACAGTGCAAATACAATTACAATTCATAATAATACTTGGTTTCGATGCCCCCGGGAACTGCCCCATTCCTCGGCTACCTCCCAACCCCCAGCACTTCCCCACAGTATCAACCTAATGCTGGGGGATAGGGAGGGTGGGCAGGTTAGGGTAGGGAGTGGGCTCTGCCAAGGCAGTGCTGGTGACCCGGAGGGACTACTCCAGGGTGGGGAGGCAAGGCACAAATTAGGGGTGGGTGGTGGGGGAGGTGGCATCTCTAAGGAGGGATGGGGTTGGAGCAGCTGCCAGTCTCAGTGTGCTGGGCCCGGCCCACTCCCCTACCCACCCTCCACAGCCCTGCCTCCCTACCCCCTCCCCTTCCCCAGAAACCCTTTTGCACGGATCATACACAAACGGGCACATTACAAAATGACATAACACAGTTTCACAATATCCATGGCTAGGGCTTTTTTTTCTCTTTTTCAGGCTTTTTTTTTTTTTCTACACAATGTACAATTCCTTTTAAATGGATCAAGAAATAGCTTATATACACGAATGAGTCCTTGTTATAACATCTCGGCAGCAAATATCATAAGCTAATGAAGGTCTTGATGGAAAGGATGGGAGCCTAGGACTGGGTTGGGGGTAGGGGTGTGGAGAGAAGGGTTATGCCTTCTGGAGGAGTAGGGAGAAAAGGGAATGATTAGGGAAAAGGAACAAAAGTAAAATATCAAGAAGCATCTTTACAAAGCAGTTCTATAGCTAATTCCTTTTAAAGGGGAAAGGAAAGGTAACCAAAGCAGGAAAACATTTATCTCTGTGTCTTAAAAAAAAATTGTCTACCATACATATATCCAAAAATGTGGGAAAAATACTTATTCCAGGGATAGAGGGAGTCCAGATGCCGTGGTCAAATTATAAAATAAAATCGACAAATAAGAACCTCTGTCCCCCAGTTTTACCCAAGCCTTACCACTATTTCACCCATTTCAGGCTTCTAGGGAGTAAGACACCAACCTTAAACTACTGCTTTTAGTGCCTCTGGGGATGGAGGAAGCCAGGCAGAACTGGTGGGATCCTCACACTCTACTAATAATGTTCCAAACAGAGGGTCTTTCCTCCTGTCCTTAGGGCATGAGGTTTAGTGTCTACATGGCCCAGAGCCTTGAGATGGATAGTAACAAGTAGACTTGGAGGGACACAAGGCAATCAGTGATGAAAAAGAGAAAGAGAATTGAGGAAGACAGAAGGATGAGGAAGGAGGAGGGAAGGGAGGAGGTGGAAGGTTAATACTTTATCATGATTAGGGAGACCTCACCTCCATCACTAATCCCTGGGAAGAGTATGAAAATGGGGAGAAGAAAGGGTAAGAAATCAAACCTCAGCGGTTGAACAAAGGGTCACCGAGCTATACTAGTCAAGAAGCAGCTTCTATGTATCTGACCCTGAGGGGATAAAAACAGGGAAGATTCCACCATCTCCCCTATGGCCTCAGCACCTAAGCAGGCACTGACTATAGGCTTTCCTTCTCCATGATTCCCCAACTCTACACATCTTACTTCCAAACCCCATTCTAAGGTGGCCTGGCTCCCAGGGAAAGGACTCAGCTCAGGGCAGGGCAAGGACGGCCCACAGCCAGACGGTATTGCACATTCTCTGTTCCTTACTTCTAATCTCAACTGACAAACTTGGGCATCTCGTACCTCTGAGCACCTCTGAGCTTGGGGAGAGGGAGACGTAACAGAAATGGCACTTCATCATGAGGGAGGGAGGAAGAGGCTAGACAGACATGCCACAAGGCAAGATGACTTGTAGGGAAAATATTTTTAAAAAAAGCTTCCAATTTTGTGGAAGAGAGAAAAGCAAAACCAAACAATTTATCCAGTGCTTTCAAAGCACAGAGGGCAAAGAAAAGATGTAAGAATATATCTTTATATATATATATATAATTTTAAAATAATCCCAGACCCAGTTCCATTAACCCCCCCTCCCTCTCCCACCACTTACAGTCAGGGGCACCACATTCCCCAGAAAAATACTCGAAAAGACCCAATCACTACCTGTTACTAGCATCTAGCTTCCAGATCATTTCACCACTGGGGGAGCCCAGACACTGGCTGCATCTCTGCTCCTTTAAGTGCTCAATGAATTTGGGGGAAAGGGAGGAAAGAAAAAAGCCAGGAAGGCCCGTAGGGCCAGTATAGTCACCCACAGTGGCACTGGGGTGTAGGGAGTAGAGGCCAGAGTAGGGGAACTGAGCCTGATTTTAGCTCTTTCTCCCACCCCACCTCCAAATTTTATGGGGAAGATGTGCAGTTCGTGTGTGTGTTAATTTTAAAAGTGCCTTCTTTAAAAAAATTAGTTAATTTTAAAAAATAAAAGTGGGGAAACTTCCTCAGGTGACTTTCAAGGGCAACATATTAAACTTCTCCTCATTCTTCTCTGCTGAGAACATTGCCCCCAGTGCACTCTGGCAGCTTCTGGAGCCAGAGAGGCAGGTGGGTGTACACTATGAGAAGAGCAGAAACCCGTACCTTTAAGGGGCTTCCCTTACTTCAAAAACAGCCTGGTCCACTCCCTCTTCCCACAGTGTGGGCAAATGGGATGCTAATCTCCCCAATCCCCAGAACAGCAACATTGCACAATTCAATTCATTCTCTACATTAGTAGCGCTTAAAAAAAAAAAAAAAAAGAAGACAAAATTAGTATCATTCTGGGGGCGGGAAACAACTATTTGTACAGCAGAGGTCCTAAGCTGGTTTTGCCACGAACTGTTTGGCTTTGAGCAGTTGGTTCTGCAGCTGGTGCAGCAGAGTAAGGACAGGACTCCAACCTGATTGTGTGCCCCCAGGCTCTCATCTCCTGGCACTCAGAGGGTGAAAGAATAGGCAAATACGAGAATCTCAACTGTTGGTAGAGAGATTCCTTCTTTCCTCTATTTCCTCCTGTTGTCACTTGACTCATTCATGTCCATCCAATTTGTGGGACACCCAGCAAACAGTCTTGGAACAGCCGTTCCTCTGTATTATAGATGGGGCTATAGTTAGAGGGGATAGATTAGAATTTTTAAAAGCAGGGTGGAGTGAGAGATAATTTTACAAAGGATACAAGATGAAATAATTTTGGGCTGGTTGGCCTGGAATAGACTTCCGTGTTCCCACTGGGGTCAGGAGATTGGTCTTATTTCCCCAAGATCCAGAAGGGCAGGACCTAGTTTCAATCCTCCCTGGCTCATAATTAAGCCCATCTTCATACCTCTCTCTCCCTGTCTTCTATGGGTAAATTCCAGAGTGGTTGAGTTTTAAAGCTCCTCCCTCCAGGCTCTTTCCCCTCATTCTTAGAGTCCAACTTCAATACTAAACACTGCCACCCAAATTGTCCAGCTCCCAAACAACCACAGGTGGGGTGCTATTCGTCCTCGTTCGATACCCCCAACCCCACGCCCTTCTCCGGTTAAGTGCATTCAAAACTTCTGCCCCTAACACTCTTAGTCATGTCCTACTCGGCAGCTGGGACCCCTACTGCAATCTGCAATGCTCGTATCATTGAACTGAATATCATTTGTGTTTACAAAAAAAAAAAAAAAAAGGAAGAAAAGGAAAAAGAAAAAGATTGGTTGAGTGGGGGAAGGTTTAACCGTCCACTGAACAAAGGGAGGACACACAACATCATTAAAAATGGTAATAATTATAGCATAAAACAACTTTAGAAACACACATTGGAGGGCTTAGATTCTCCCCAGGACCTCATTCTGACCTCTATCAGAGGTAAAGATCCACCTCACTGTTAAAGAAAATTGAAGAGAGAAGACAGAGCGGCAGAAAAACAGATCGCAGCAGTGTGAAATAAAGGGGAGGTGGCAGGGCAGGGCGTGTGTTTTCTTGCTGATTTCTATTTTTTGTCTTCTGTTTTTCTGTTTTGCTTTCCGTGTATGGTAGGCACCAGTACAGGCACTGCATGCGACAGAAGTTGGGGGAATGAAAGAGGAAAGGGATAAAGGATTCAAGGATGGGGCAGTACAAGTGGAACAGGCGTTATTTCTGTCCACTGATGGACTGCGATATAGACCGGGGAGGGATCATGTCTAAAAGGTATTCACGCTGTCGGTCTGCCAAACTGGGGCCTTTGTGTCCTCCGATGCCAGTATTCAAGTATGCAATGTTGACACCTGGACCCAGGAGACAAAAGTGGAGGGCAGGTATTAAAAGAGGAAATAACATTCCCTTCCGCTCTACCCTTGGGCTGCAGAGTTGGAGATGGAAAGGAAGCAGAATTTACCAGTATCTGGCCACACTTGGTTAGCTTTATTTCAACAGCAACTTTCTTTTTCTTTTTTGAGCTGCAGTCTCGTTCTGTCACCCAGGCTGGAGTGCAGTGGTGCGATCTTGGCTCACCTCTGCCTTCCAGACTCAAGCAATTCTCCTGCCTCAGCCTCCAGAGTAGCTGGAATTATAGGCACGTGCCACTACTGCCCGGCTATTTTTTGTATTTTTAGTAGAGGTGGGGTTTCACCACGTTGGCCAGGCTAGTCTTGAACTCCTGACCTCAAATGATCCACTGGCCTCAGCCTCCCAAAGTGCTGGGATTACAGTCGTGAGCCACTGCGCCTGGCCAGTTAATTTTGTCTGGTTATTTATTTATTTGAGACAGAATTTTGCTCTTGTTGCCCAGGCTGGAGTGCAGTGGCGCAATCTCAGCTCACTGCAACCCCCGCCTCCTAAGTTCAAGCGATTCTCCTGCCTCAGCCTCCTGAGTAGCTGGGATTACAGGCACCCGCCACCACACTGGGCTAATTTTTTGTATTTTTAGTAGAGATGGGGTTTCATCATGTTGGCCAGGGTGGTCTCGAACTCCTGACCTCAGGTGATCCACTCGCTTTGGCCTCCCAAAGTGCTGGGATTACAGGCATGAGCCACCACGCATAGCCAATTTTTGTATTTTTAGTAGACACAGGGTTTCACCATGTTGGCCAGGCTGGTCTCAAACTCCTGATCTCAAGTGATCCGCCTGCCTCGGTCTCTCAAAGTGCTGGGATTACGGGTGTGAGCTACCGCGCCTCACACAGCAACTTTATTTCAATCCCCACTCATATTCCTAAGCTTTAGGAAAAGGGGACTTCCTAAAATTTCAGTCCTACCAAGAATAATGAACATGCTTCTGATGGTATAGGAGAGACAAGTGAAACAGTGGTGAGAGGAAGATGAATAATTATGAGAGAGAGAATCATTAAATCAGCTTTGATTTTGAGACTGCAGATTGTGGAGAAGCATCCCTGGATCATTCAAACTGAACAGTTAACCCTGCTGTCCCGGCCAAAAGAGATCAATAACCACATTTCTACTGAAGGGATATTAAAAGTTAAATTTATAATGGTAGGATCTGGGTCATTTTCACCACCAAAACCCTAGTGCACTGTGACTGGAATGTAATATGAATTTAGCAAACATTTGCTGAGTAACAGAAGAGTGAGGGTGCATGCCCTACAGAAAGAACAGAAAGTAAAGGAAGGAACAATTCCCCTAGAGGCGCTGCTACAGAACTGTATACTAACAGTTGACCCATGGGAAACGTTTTCAGATTAATCCTCCTTACCTGGCATACCAAGGAGGCCACCTGGCACAGACAACTGGGGTGCCTGTGCAAAGTTTGAAAGCATGGAGCGGGCAGATGTGGGTATGCCACGCTGGAGACTGCTCTGGGGCTGTGGAGCCTGCAATGATGAGGAGACAGTTGATACAACTTTGCTATGATAGAATGTTAAGTGAGGGCAAAGATAAGGGGTACAGAAGAAGAGTATGATTTCCCACAATAGAAAGGACAAACTGTGATAAATGGCTGATAAATCTTCTAAAGAAATAAGGATTAAAAGTTCCTTACCTGCCGAAGCGTATGATGTCTCATGATGGTCTCTTGTTTACTGACACTGGACACAGCTGGAGCTGTAGTGGGGGAGAGGGCTGCCTGCTGCTGTAATCGCTGTTCAATTTCCTGTTGGGAGTCATCAGATCAGGTTGAGTAGGACAGAACCCAATCTTCTTTTTTTTTTTTTTTTTTTTAATAGAGACACAATCTGCCTTTGTTGCCCAGGCTGGTCTTGAACTCCTGGGCTCAAGCAATCCTCTCACCTTAGCCTCCCCAAAGTGCTGAGATTACAGGCATGAATCATTGCGCCTGGCCCACCCAATTTCCTAACCAGAAAACCTAGAGGTATTCTTAACCTCTAATGTTGTTGGCTAGTTGGTGGAATATGGAAAAGGCAAAAGAGTTTGGTGGGGTGGTACACTGAGATTCTGGGTATAAGCAGCTAACCTGCTTCATTGATCAAGGGATCCTCCTCTCTTTCTCCAGGAAAGCTGGCTCTCAGAAGTTGGCTAGAGGTGATGAACCAACTGATATAATTAAGGCTGATGAATTACTGGGGTTTTATTTCAACACTTTTTCTTTTTAAAAATTTTTATTTATTTGTTTACCACCAGTCCTAGAGCATAAATGGGGTTTTGACTCCTGCCTACCCGATTTTCCAAGGAGTCCATGATGCTACTCAAACAAGGGAGTCTGATAGGTGGAGTGGGAAATAGGAAGAAAAGGATCTGAGTTTCCCAACACATTTTTCCCTCTCTAAGATACTCTCATCTTCTAACTGCTACATGAGATGTTCACATACTCCAGAACCACTACTCTTCACTGGGCTACTTCATAATTCACTCTAACACTTCTTGTCAAATATGCACTGTAAGTAACTGTTTCAAAGAGATTTATAGTACAAATATAAATTCCTCCCACCAAAATCTATTATTTGTTTTAGGAGAAAATGAAGATGAGAATAGAGTGCTATGGAAAAGCCAAGAGCCCCAAGCTTTCTGTCCCTTTCTGTTAACCTCAGCCATTATATTTTACCGTGTTCTTAATCAGAATACTCGCTCAAATGGAAATGGGACAGAATGATAAGGAGACAAAAAGGGAACCTCTGGACCTGTAGGGATCACATGAACTACTCCTGCAAACTAGAAGGCATGACCCTTTGGGGAAAAAAAACTGGGACAGGTGGCCAGAGAGCAGCCAGAATTCTTACCTGTTCCTGCTGTAGGGCTTTCACAAATGCATTTTTCAGCCGGTTGGTGTGTTCAGCTTTTAGAGCCTTCTTCTGGTTGGAGGTCATACACTGCTCACATAGAATCTTACCATTCTTTTCCTGCTTCCAGTGAGGGGTGAAATCTGTGCGGCACTGGGCACATACAAAGGGTTCAACCCGCAGAAGTGAGGCACAGCTTTTGCCTAGACACCAACAAAAACAGTCAGTGGCTCTACATTTCCTATCGCCTCTGTTTCTCTTAATCAAACAGATCTTTTCCAGGAGTTTAATTCTGTTGAATTAAAGAAAGAGACTCTACAAAAAAGATATTCTATTAATTTACAAAATACTTTTATTTCATCTGTTATAACAATATCACTTCAGGGAATTCAGACAGTGCCATCCTCATTTTCAAATGAGGAAAGAAGTCGAAGAAATGTAGCTTCTGGCTGGGCACGGTGGCTCACACCTACAATCCCAGCACTTTGGGAGGCGGAGGTGGATGGCTAATGAGGTCAGGATTCAAGACCAGCCTGACCAACATGGTGAAACCCCGTCTCTACTAAAAATACAAAAAAATTAGGCGGGCGTGGTGGCACGCGCCTGTAATCCCAGCTATTCAGGAGGCTGAGGCAGGAGAATCGCTTGAACCTGGGAGGCAGAGGTTGCAGTGAGCCAAAACTGTGCCACTGCACTCCAGCCTGGGCAACAGAACAAGACTCAGTCTCAAACAACAAGAACAATAACAACAACAACAACAACAAAGGTAGCTTCTGATAAAGCTGGGATGTTTCCTGATTTTCTACTGTATCACACTGAGAAGAAAATACTGTGTCAATTCAAAGTCAAAGGACCCTGTCTTACTCAACCAATACTTCTGCTTCTTAGTATCTCCTTACCTCAGACTGTACTTACCCTGTCATATACATTTATGGTTTTAAATAGTTATCAGTGTCTGAATTATTCACTTTGTGATCTATTTATAGCTAATACTGACTCCTCTGGGCATTTTCCTTTACTGGCAGGCTTTCTCAGAAGTCTACATGTTTAGAAATTCAAGTTTAATAACTTCAGTTAGTCTAGACTATATGTTGTTAATACTCTATAGTATGGTTTAGTATTGGTTTATAGCTTTTTATATGGTCTTTCTTAGTTATCTATGTAAGTGTGTCTAGTTTCTCAACTGTAAGCATTGGTAGGTCAAAGACTAAATACAGTAATTTAGTACAATGTTGCAAAAACACTGACATTAAAAACAGAAGTTCCCCGCCAGGCATGGTGGCTCACACCTGTAATTCCAACACTTTGGGAGGCTGAGGCAGGCAGATTACTTGAGGCCAGGAGTTTGAGACCAGCCTGGCCAACACAGCAAAATCCTATCTCTACTAAAAACAGAAAAAATTAGCTAGATGTAGTAGAACACATCTGTAATGCCAGCTACTTTGGAAGCCGAGGCAAAAGAATTGCTTGGACAGGGCACAGTGGCTCACGCCTGTAACCTCAGCACTTTGGGAAGCCGAGGCAGGTGGATCACCTGAGGTCAGGAGTTCAAGACCAGCCTGACCAACATTGTGAAATCCCATCTCTACTAAAAACAAAAATTAGCAGGTCGTGTGCAGGCACCTGTAATCCCAGCTACTCGGAGGCTGAGCAGGAGAATCGCCTTCGAACCCAAGAGTGAGTCCAGTGAGCTATATCAGCCACGCTACTGCTCAGCCTGGGCAACCAGAGCAAGACCTCTCAATCTCAAAAAAAACAAAAAAACCAAAAGAATTGCCTTGAAACCGAGAGGCAGAGGTAGTGAGCCAGCCAAGATCATGCCACTGCACTCTAGCCTGGGTGACAGAGTAAGGCTCTGTCTCCAAAAAAAAAAAAAAAAAAAAAAAAAACCAACAAAAGAAAAAAACTAGCATGGTGGTACATGGCAGTGGTCCCAGTTACTCAGGAGGCTGAAATGGGAGGATGGCTTGAGCCTGGGAGTTCAAGGCTGCAGAGAGCTCAGATCACACCACTGCACTCAAGCCTGGACAATAGGGTCAGACCCTGTCTCAAAAAAACAAACAACAAAAAAAAGAGAAAGAAGTTCTATTATCAAATTATGCAAGCATCATGCTAGCCACCATTTAAAAGAACTAAACAAAATACAGTCAGTTCTCAGTGTTGCTGACAGGTTCTTAGAGACTGTGATTTAAGTGAAACGACATACTACAAAACCAATCTTTTTTTCTTACCAATGTTATAATAAAATGGTGTTATTTGAGGACCCCCTTTACCACAGCTGTTTCACTTAAAGTCATAGTTTCTAAGAAACTACTGATGATGTTAAGTGAGAACTTACTGTCCTACAAAAAACATACAAGATAGATACAATACAAATAAAAACATCAAGCCTCAATGATACCTGACCTAACGCAGGGAAAAAAAAACAAGCTGAAGACAGACAGACAGACAGAACGGCCGGCCCCAGCCAGCTGGCCAGGTGCAGTGGCTCATGCCTGTAATTCTAGCACTTTAGGAAGCCGAGGTGGGCAGATCACCTGATGTCAGGTGTTCCAGACCAGCCTGGCCAACACGATGAAACCCTGTCTCTACTAAAAATACAAAAATTAACGAGGTGTGGTGGCATGTGCCTGTAGTCCTAGCTACATGGGAGGCTGGGGCAGGAGAACTGCCAGAACTCGGAAGGCAGAGGTTGCAGTGAGCTGAGATTGTGCCACTGCACTCCAGCCTGGGCAACACAGCGAGACTCCATCTCAAACAAAAAACAAAAACACACACACACACACTCCACTTCTAACATGTTGCTCCCAAACAGCCTGTAAAGAAGGGAGGGGAGGTGGCTTGGTAACAGGAAGGAGAAGTTATTTAATATTGTACAGTACCCTCTGATACTCTGCCTATGTCAATTAGGCTTGGCAACCACTTGCTCAAAAAATAGCCTTACCTTGGCTGTCAATGACACTTTGTACGACTTCTTCCAAGCCTACCATGTAGATGAACTCGCTATTGGCTGCACTAGGCAAGAAGTGAAGTAAGGGAGCTGGAGGTTTAGGGGGTGGGATCTCCAGGAGTGTCTTTTCCAGCTGTTTGCGAAGAGCCAATTTGGCTGCAGCCTGTGAGTTGGCAGCATCAGTCATGGCGCTGGGGCTAGGAAGTGGCGAGGACACTCTGTTCACGGTCCCTGGCTGGATATGAGAGGCAAGGTTCATATAGATGGCAGAGGATGTTGTACGCTGACATGGAACAGAAGAACTTGACTGCTGAAATAGATTGAGAATGGGGTCAATCATGGAATGTAGGAGAAAGGACCAATTCTTACGTTCTTGGCAGAGGACAATGTCTGATCCTGGTTTGGACTATTTCGCTTCTCCAAAATAGGAGGTGGTCAACTTATTCATTGAAAAAGAACTCTGACACATAGGAAATGAAAATGATGATCACCATGAGCTAAAATTGCTAAGAAAGAAATAAAGGCCGGGCGTGGTGGCTCACATCTATAATCTTAACACTCTGGGAGGCCGAGGCGGGCAGATTACTTGAGTTCAGGAGTTTGAGACCAGCCTGGCCAACATAGTAAAACCCCGTCTCTACAACAAATACAAAAAATTAGCTGGAAATTCCTTGAACCCAGGAGTTGGAGGTTGCAGTGAGCCAAGATCATGCCATTGTACTCCAGCCTGGGCAACAGAGTGAGACTCCATTTCAAAAAAAAAAAAAAAAAAGAGAGAGAGAAATAAAGATTTTGCTTTCTGTCACACATTCTTGTGCTTCTTATTCCCTAGATCACTCTCTTCTAGGCAGATTTTTAGCTTACTGCTGCTCTGCTGTATAACCTCTCTTCTCTACTACTATTTTAATATAATTCCTCAAAGCTTCTACTTTTGGGACTGCTCTCAATTAAATTCCTACCCAAATAACCACTTCTGTCCTAGAGTTTATCTATGTATAAAAACTTAAAACCTATGGCTCTTTCGACAAGCAAAGCAAATAAAGGATTTCTCTGTTTCCACATTAGGGCTCAGCTCTCTCTTACCGGTTGGTAATTGATGGCAGGATTCATGTTGGGTGTTGTGGTGCGTACAAGGCCAGGCTTAGGTGGACCCCGCTGACCCTGTAGCTGGGCTGGGTTTGGTGCAATAACACGTTGAGACATCAACATGTGTGGAAGGGTGGTATTGGTAGCTGAACGGATGACACTGTGACCCTGGAGCGGAAGAAGAGGAAAAGAACTAATCACAGGTTGTACGCTGTGTATAACACAGCATGAAATGCAAAAAGGAAAACACTGCCTGTAATACCTGAGTAGAAACACAGGAACACACCCAGACTTGGTAATTTCATTTAATGGTCTATGAGATAAATCTACCATCACTGTAAACCCTGATTAGTGGCTAGGAAGTCCTTGGCTTTTTTTCGTATAAACTATCTAATCCTATAGGGTTAGACAGAAAACTACCCCTTCTCTAGAGAAACTGGAAGCATTCCCTAGATAAGAAAAACTACAGTGGAAAGATAAAAGTTACTCATCTTTCTACTGAAGACTAAATCATGCCATAATGGACCAACAGAACAATCAGTAATAATAACACCTCCATCATGGCCAGGTTCTTCTATAATCTTCACAAGAGCCCAAAAACAGACAGGATTAGACAGGGCCCTCCAACACTAAGATCCCACTATGGGTCACATACCTGTAAAGTTCTCAAATTTTGAGGTTCAACCCCCTGGGCCCCAGGCCGGGAGGGAAGCTTAGATAGGCCCTGCTGTCCCACATGGGCAGGAGATGGCTGAACAATAGATGCTGCATTCTGTACAACTGGAGTCTGGGAGAGGGAAGAGAAAATAAGACTGTGGAAAAGGCCAATAATCAGAGGTGGAAGTCTGGTACATTTCTAGACTTTAAAAGTTCCTTGTCAGTGGGAAGTTCTTGTCAACCAGCAGAAAAAACCAGAAAAAGGGAGTCAAGGTTTTCTTAAGGCCTGAGATTAAAAAAAAAAAAAAAAAAAAAAATCACTACTACTACAGACTAAAAAACTATGGACCCAGGAAGAAATGGGCCACCCACCTGAACCCACCTGGGGTAACCTACTCTCAAACCAGTTTTTCTCTACTTTCCCTTAGTCCCTTATTTCTAGGGCACATTACCTTCTGGACCACATTCTCTTTCTGTAGCTGACTCTGTCTCAGTTTCTTTAACAGGACCAGTCGGGCTTCTTCCAATCGTAGCTCATCCCTCAGCTGCTTGATAAGCTGCTGCCGTTCCTCAATGCCTTTCCCCTAAGGAAACAACAAGACTGTCAGCTATGGCAGCAGGTACCCAGAATTCCTTCCTGCAAGAGACAATCTTTACTTCTTAGCTCTGAAACCTTCATCTTTCACAAGAAGCAAAAGTGGCAATAGGATTATCTTTGTATCACTGGGGTCTGGCAAAGTGCCTGGCATTCAGTAGGTACTCAAAAGAAATGCTTACAGAATTAAAGGAGAGACCACATATAAATGCTAATCAGTCAGATTCCTGGCAAAAAGAAGAATGACTAAAGAGAAACATTGTTTTTTTTGTTTTGTTTTGTTTTTTTGTTTTTGAGACGGAGTCACGCTCTGTCACTCAGGCTGGAGTGCAGTGGCGCCATCTCAGCTCACTGCAAGCTCCGCCTCCTGGGTTCACGCCATTCTCCTGCCTCAGCCTCCCGAGTAGCTGGGACTGCAGGCGCCCGCCACTACGTCCGGCTAATTTTTTTGTATTTTTAGTAGAGACGGGGTTTCACCGTATTAGCCAGGATGGTCTCGATCTCCTGACCTCGTGATCCGCCCGCCTTGGCATCCCAAAGTGCTGGGATTACAGGCGTGAGCCACAGCGCCTGGCCACACTGTCTTCTTTTAAAATATTCCTAAATCTCTTAAAGCCACATTTCCTCTAGATATACACAAAAACTTACGAATCCCTTCATACTCAGGTACTCAGGTTAGAGTGCAAAAGGTATCCTTCTAGCCAAGGGTTTACTTTATATGACTTAATTATGAACTTTTGTTTTCATTTTTCAAAGATAAATAACATTGAGTATAATGGCCTACACACATGCTTTTCAAACTGTCGTCTCCACTTGATTCTAACAGTTCCTTTTAAAAGCCCTTGAAGTCGAGAGTCACTATAAAGTTTTCATCAATGGGTATTTATATCCAAACAGTAAACAGTCAAAAAACAGAACTAAGACTCTTGAGGAATTAAATAAAATAGAAGGAGTGTAACATGAAAAAAGAAATTCTTCTTTCTTTTTACCTTAAACATCTCTAGGTTGGCTGCTTTGAGTCTTTCTTCCATTCTGGAACTGGAACGGGGACTGGAAGCCTCATTGTCAGACAAAACAATGATGTCTGGTGAGGGAGTTAGCCTTCCTCGCTCTGGCTCACTAGACAAGAAAAGGAAAAAATAAGCTATTTCCAACAAAAGTTAAGAAAATTTCTTATCTATGCTGAATTAAAAAAAATCCAAGGGGGGCCGGGTACAGTGGTTCACTCCTGTAATCCTAGCACTTTGGGAGGCCGAGGTGGGTGGATCACCTGGAGTCAGGAGTTCGAGACCAGCCTGGCCGACATGGTGAAACCCTGCCTCTACTAAAAATACAAAAATTAGCTGGGCATTGGGGCACACGCCTGTAGTCCCAGCTACTCAGGAAGCTGAGGCAGGAGAATCTCTTGAACCCATGAGATAGAGGTTGCAGTGAGCCGAGATCGCACCACTGCACTCCAGCCTGGGCGACAGAGCAAGATTTCATCTCAAAAAAAAAAAAAAAAAAAAAAAAAAAAAAAAAAAAAAAAAAAAAAAAAAAAAAAAAAAAAAAAAAAAAAAAAAAAAAATAGTCTATCCCATCAAGAGTAGGTACTGACGAACACACAAAAGAAGGAAGTATTAATAATTTGACGGAATAGTGTCAAGCATAATGTCTACAGCCTTATAGAAAAGGATTAAACCTCCAGAAACAAATATATTGAACTTGCATCTACTTACCGGAGTTTTATCCAGCATCTTACCTCAAAGAGTCTAGAAATTACTTTGAAATCTAAATCTCCCACATTGGTTCCTCTTACTCCTAATCCTATTTACTAGATAACTCTAATTTAGGTTATTCTGGGGTTAGCCTTAAAAGCATCATGCTGGCCGGGCGCGGTGGCTCAAGCCTGTAATCCCAGCACTTTCGGAGGCCGAGACGGGCGGATCACGAGGTCAGGAGATCGAGACCATCCTGGCTAACACGGTGAAACCCCGTCTCTACTAAAAATACAAAAAACTAGCCCGGGCGCCGAGACTGGCGGCGCCGCCTGTAGTCCACGCTACCTCGCGCGGCGCCCTGAAGGCACGGACGATGGCGTAAACCCCGCCGAGAGGGGAGCTTGCCAGTGCGCCTGAGATCCGGCCGCCCACACTGCTCCAGCCTTGGGGACAACCGAGTCGGACCGACTCCATCTCCAAACAAAAAAAGAAAAAAGCATCAGCTGCCCTTATTTGCTGGTAAGGATGATAAAAACCATGGCACAACTATCGCGCTTCAGACCTAGTAACAAGAATTCCAGAAACCTCTAATTGCTTCAACGGTTCCCAATTTAATGACCTGTACCTTTTCTAATTCTCCTCTGATTCAAAGATACCTTCAGATCCTCCCGCTTCCTTGCAGACCTCCTGTCAGTGTAGTTGGGGTATTTAGGCTCGATTGTTGTCTACTTTTTCTTTTTTTCTTTCTTTTTTTTTCGGTCCCTTTTTTTTTTTCCCCTCTTGAGATAGGATCTCACTCTGTCACCCAGGCTGGAGTCCTGTGGCCCGATCACAGCTCACTGCAGCCTTGACCTACTGGGCTCAAGTGATCCTCCCACCTCAGCCTCCTGAGTAACTGGGACTATAGGCATGTGCCACCATGCCCGGCTAATTTTCATACTTTTTGTAGACATAGGGTCTTACTATGTTGCCCGAGCTGGTCTTAAGTGACCCTCCTGCCTTGGCCTCCCATTTGGCCTTAAATAATCAACTTAAACCCTTAATGATCACAGATCACTAGCTGTCCACTTCTCAGGGTTTCTTGTCCTAGCTGCTGTTGGCACATGAATTTTTTTTTTTTTTTTTGAGGCAGGGTCTCATTCTACTGCCCAGGCTGGAGCGTAGTGGTACTTGCTGCATTCTCAAACTCCTGGCTCCAAGAGATCCCCCAGCCTCAGCCTCCTGAGTGCCTGGATAATTTCTTAATTTTTTGGAAAGTGGTGGGGGTCTTGCTATGCTGCCCAGGCTAGTCTTGAACTCCCAGGTTCAAGTGATCCTGCTGCCTCAGCCACCCAAAGTGTTGGAATTACAGGTGTGAGCCACCATGCCCAGTCAGGACATGGATACCTTTTGAATAGGGCAACCCTGATCACTGGAATAAGCATTCAATTTCTCAACAGGGTAAATCTGAGTTGCTAAAATCAACCAAACTTAGGTAAGGAAACAGAATAGGGGGACAGAAAGATAAGAATGACTGACTATCTTGTGAACTGTTAAGTTTGTCTAGATTGCCGGCCATAGACACAGCAAGCTGAGAAGGTAGAAATACAGAAAAAGAAACCACTAGAGGGAGAAAAGAGCCTTTCATTCTCTAACCCCGAATATGAGGAGTAATGGTCAGGCCTGAATAAAGTGTCTGCATTCTTTTTTTTGAGATGCAGTCTGACTCTGTCGCCTAGGCTGGAGTGCAATGGTGTGATCTCAGCTCACTGGAACCTCCATCTCCAGGGTTCAAGCGATTCTCCTGCCTCAGCCTCCCCAGTAGCTGGAATTACAGGTACCCGGCATGGCGCTTGGCTAATTTTTTTTGGTATTTTTAGTAGAGATGTGGTTTCACTGTTTTGACCAGGCTGGTCTCAAAGTCCTGACCTCGTGATCCGCCTGCCTCTGCCTCCCAAAGTGTTGGGATTACAGGCGTGAGCCACTGTGCCCGGCCTGTATTCATTTTTAAAGTGTGATTTACTTCTCATATCTATATTCCTTTATACCTCCCGTCTATGATTAACATGGGCAATTTTGGGTGGGCAGATCACTTGAGGCCAAAAGTTTGAGACCAGCCTGGCCAACATGGAGAAATCCTGTCTCTACTAAAAATACAAAAATTAGCCGGGCATGGCAGTACATGCCTGTAATCCCAGCTATTCAGGATGCTGAGGCACAACAATCACCTGAACCTGGGAGGCAGAGGTTGCAATGAGCCAAGATTGCATCACTATACTCCAGCCTGGGTGACAGAGCAAGACTCTGTCTCAAACAAATTAAAAATAAATAAAAAATAAATCATGGGTAATTTTGGAATCTGGAAGATTTTTCATGCAGAAGCTCTTTCTATTCTGGTCTTGGCTGGATAATATATATTACAAGTTATTTCTAAGGTAAGGAATTCTTCCTTGCTCAAATGAGTGCCACTTACTGCTTAGGAACTGCCCGCCCAGTGCCAAGACAAACAGAGACATTACTGGATGGAGATTTGGGAATTGTATGCCATTTATCAGGAAGTTATATCTGAGAACAACTTTAAGTGATTATTTTATTCCCAGATATAAACACACCAGTATTAGGTAGCTAGCACAGATAAGGCAAAGCCAAAGTCTTTTTTGAGTCAGACTCTTGCACTGTCACCCGGGCTGGAGGGCAATGGTGCAATCTTGGCTCACTGCAACCTCTTCTGAGGTTTAAGTGATTCTCCTGCCTCCCGAGTCGCTGGAATTACATGTGCCCGCTACCACACCTGGCTAATTTTCTGTATTTATAGTAGAGATGGGGTTTCACTATGTTGGCCAGACTGGTCTCAAACTGCTGACCTCATGATCCACCCGCCTCAGCCTCCCAAAGACCTGGGATTACAGGCATGGGCCACCGCGCCTAGCCTCTTTTCTTGTATTTATTTTTGCTTTTATTTTTTGAGACAGGGTCTCACTCTGTCACCCAGGCTGGAGTGCAGTGGTGCAATCGTTCGTGGCTCACTGCAGTCTCAATCTCCTAGGCCCAAGAGATCCTCCCACCTCAGTCTCCTGAGTAGCTAATTTTTAAATTTTTTGTAGAGAAGGGGTCTCCCTATGTTACTAAGGCTGGTCTTAAACTTCTAGGCCCAAGTGATTCTCCTGCCTTGGCCTCCCAAAGTGCTGTGATTACAGGCGTGAGCCATCATACCCTGCCTCATTCCTCAATTTTCAAAAACTAATGAGCTAGGATTCTGGCCTCATTTGTTAAACATTCCCAGAGAGAAATTATTTTGCTCTTTTCCTAAACATACATGTAATTTACAACACTGGGGGTAGTTAAGTATGAACTCCTACCTATTAGAGAGATATTATTAAAAGCCCCACTTGCTGTGACATCACTTGTGACTTAGTCTGGCATATTCTCAGAAGCTATAAAGCTCTTAATCCTTATTCCAGTAGTAAAAACGACTAAGCTGAGAACTGCCGTGTCTTTCTAGAATTTCAAAACATTAGTAGCGTTGGTTTCATACATACTTTATTTCACAGGTATCATAACTTGACCAACTGATGGTAAAATAAGCTATTTAGGCTATTATGACATGGCTATTATGTTAAGAACTTCTCTTGCCTTCTGCTTTCAAATTCTTTCATCTTTTCTTGGTAGAGATGAGGTACCACTATGTTGCCCAGGCAGATCTCAAATTCTTGCACTCAAGCAATCCTCCCACTTTGGCCTCCCTAAGTGCTGGGAATACAGGCATGCACCATTGCACCCAGCTCTTTCCTCCTTTTATCACTATCAAAGAAACTATGGTTCTCCTTGCTGGGAATGTATCAGTTTTGCTCACTGTTGGTTTTTTGTTTTTTTGTTTTTCTTTTGAGACAGGGTCTTGGTCTGTCGCCCAGGCTGGGAGTGCAGTGGTGCAATCTCTGCTCACTACAACTCTGCCTCCTGGGTTCAAGCGATTCTCCTGCCTCCCTTCCAAGTAGCCAGGATTACAGGCACCCGCCACCACGCCTGGTTAATTTTTGTAATTTTACTAGAGATGGGGTTTCACCATGTTGGCCAGGCTGGTCTCGAACTCCTGACCTCAGATGATCCTCCTGCCTTGGCCTCCCAAAGTGCTGGGATTATAGGTGTGAGTCACTGTGCCCAGTAGTCTTGTTCATTATTATACAACATCTCAGGGCTAAATGGAAATAACTGTCAGTATATCTGGAGTCCCAAGCTTCCAGAGGATTGTGTTTCAAAAGATCACCCCATGTTGGGTACAGCGGCCCATGCCTAATAGTTCCAGCTACTCAGGAAGCCAAGTGGGGAGGACTGCTTGAGCTCAGGAATTTGAGGAAATAGTGCACGACAGTGCTTGTGAACAGCCAATGCATGTCAGCCTGGGCAACAGAGTGACACCCCATCTCTTTAAATGATTTTTAAAAATCACCCCAAAATAACATTTTTTTAAAAATTGTTGGGTTTGGCTGGGCATGGTGGCTCACGCCTGTAACCCCAGCACTTTGGGAGGCCAAGGCGAGTGAATCACAAGGTCAGGAGATAGAGACCGTCCTGGTCAACATGGTGAAACCCCATCTCTACTAAAAATACAAAAATTAGCTGGCGTGTAGTCCCAGCTACTCAGGACGCTGAGGCAAGAGAATCGTGTGAACCCAGGAGATGGAGGTTGCAGTGAGCCGAGATCGTAGCACTGCACTCCAGCCTGGCCAACAGAGCGAGACACCATCTTAAAAAAAAAAAAAAAAAAGGCTGGGCGCGGTGGCTCAAGCCTGTAATCCCAGCACTTTGGGAGGCCGAGGCAGGTGGATCACGAGGTCAGGAGATCGAGACTATCCTGGCTAACATG